TAAAGTATGTATACATTTTTTTTGGGACACCCTGTATATATAACATATCTTCCTTTTGCAGGCCAGTGTCTGTTCAGTAGAGTCAAGGTGAACACACTCTATACTGATCCGTACTGCATAACTACAGTGCCCCTATCCCACACCCGGTGTTAGTCTTGTAGAGTCTTATGGTAGAGCTGAGGCAAGCACTCTATAAGCCATGATATATCACTAATCTACTCTCCTCTTGCAGCTAGTGTTAGTCCGATAGAGTCTGATGGTAGAGTTGAGGTGTGTATACATATTATGGTCTGAATGCACCCCAATACACTACATGTATTGGCTGTCATACAACTTGTGTGCAAGTACTCAGACAGTCATATTCACATTCTGCCCATCTTTGCGACACAAATTTGGCTTCTATGCCTCTTTCCTATATGGGTGAAGAGTATACCCTGGTTGAAGATGAAATTCAGTGTCCCACAGATGTGTCTCTATGAAGCCCTTGCTTTTGGGTGTCACACCCCATGGGCTTTCTTTAGGCACTTTCTAAAGGGAGCTCATCTAGGTACAATTTTCAGTGGTCCCTCCACCATATCAGTATGTGATTCTAGCTTAAATGTGTGTGAAGGTGAGGTATTGTCTCAGAAGTTAAAATTTTTCTTACCTGAAAATGTATTTCTGATGAATACTCACCTTCATCACCAGTGCAAATTTTCTTACTTACCTCTTCAAAGAATGAAGTTTCACAAGTGCAAGCACATAGGAGGACTTATTGCACATGGAGACTTGTCACCCTACTGTCGTTGGAGGGCTTTTGTTGGACAATGCTATCACCATGCAGTAGTATAAATCATGTGAAATTAGATGGGAGTTGCCTCAAGAGTAGTGGCATACAAATGTCTTTGGTAGATGTGCTGAGGAAGATAGCTAAACTGTGTGAGGAGGTGAGTATCTATGTGAAATACATCTTCAGGTAAGGAAAATGTTAACTTTAAGTAGGTTTTATTACTGTTATGAACTTCATGAAGAAAATTATGTTGAAATATTTCGTTATAAGAATTGTGATAATACATGTAAATCTTGTTTTTTCAGTTTGATACAACTTGTTATATCATTCTGTAAGCTTTATAGCACTTGCTTTCAACTTTTAACATTTGGCCTATTGACCAAACATTTGTGAAATGGTATGCCAATTAACTCTTTAATTGTAGCAAGTATTTATATTTTTGGGCACATAAATTTATATTTAATTTTTTTTGCAGTGTCAAGTTTGGAAAGAAAGTAATGTATGTGAATTATCTTCACGAACTAAAGAAACATCTTCATTTTGAACAGTTGGCCATTCCAAAAGTTGTGTTAGAGTAAGTAGAAACATTACTGTTATGTATCAAGCTTTCAAATGGATTCTTTTAACATTGACAAAGGAATTACTAATCTGACAAAAAATAAATTGCATTTAATAAAAGCTCTTCAACACCCAACAGCACAATTTGTTGAAGTTCTTAAAAGTATTTATTCTTTTTGGAACCATAGTGACTTTATATAAACTTGAATTTCCACTAGTGTGACCCACATGACACATTTTGTCTTAGCATGTCATCATCCCTAATTTATCCATCACCCCTCAAAAATGTACGAAATTAAACAATTAAACGTAAAACACTCTATAAAATAGTTAATGCTCAGACAAACAATAATTTTTATAGCCTTCAATTTTGTTTGGTTTCAGAGCTATCAAATAGAAAATCAGACCCCTCCTACCACACCCACCTGTCATATCCTCTCTTTCACAATTACTTGATAGTTCTCTCTTACATTCCATTATATATTACCTATAACCAAAAAACGTCAAGGTTTTCAAATATCAAATGACATATTGCATGACGTTGTATTCTGAACAGAATATCGTCAGTTTCACTCGCAGTACAAGATTCGTTCCTGAGGTAAGTGAACTTGTCTACTTTTTGCATGTTATTAGTCAATATTCTTTGGTGCATTATTTAATTAACTAAAAATTAAGTGCATTACTATAATTACTATAAAAAATCAGGCTTAACTTTCCTCGACAATCGAGGGCAAGAAAAAATATGATTGGGTAAGTACTTTATTTCTTGTTTTTCATATTTATTCTTTATTCATTATTATAAAAGTAACTAAAAGCTAAAAATATGGATCTTTTTAAGTTATTTAAGACTATATTAGGTAAAAAAAAGTAATAATATGATTAAAATGGTTCACGAGGCACACACGCGAGCAGCTCGTGAGTAATGTAATTCGATAGCATAACGTGAGCTGCACATTCCCCGAGTGATTTACAACTTATAATGGCACGAATAGTAGTTAGACATGGTTCAAAGGGAAATAAAACAATAAAATTTAATTATAAATAGTTGTATAATGTTACGAACTTAGAGTTACTTAGGATAAAGGAATATAGTTTCATGTTACAATTTGAAGTCATTCTAGAAAGAAAGAAAGGTTAATTTAGGTTTAATTAGATTTTTTTTTTATTACAATGTTAGTCGATTTGACTGATCCTGTTTTGAGATAGGGTAGAGAAAATAACATATAGCCTATAAGGTTTTACTGAAAAAAAACGTTTGAAATGCATTTGGGAGGTTTTAGGGATTACACAAAGGAAATTTGAGATTTTTGAGATGATGAAAAGTATTTTTAATTTTAACATGAAAATTATTTTTTGCACATGGACTTTTCAAAACAAATACTCAATATATTCATAGACAAATCTTTATTTTATTTTATTAAAAATACTTCACTAAGAAATAAAACTTTTTGTATGTGAAAGACATATAATACTAACTGAAAAACTGCCAAGTTTCATGAAGATATACCCAATATATTACTGCCCCCATAGTGAGAGAGTTAAGGTAAATATTTATATTTTATTTTCCATTTTCTCAACCATATCACTAATTCTAGCTATTATCATCCACATACAGTGCAATAAAATGTTTAATATTAAGAAATGGAAATATATACATACCTTTTATCTCTTTGTAAATATTTATATTTATAAGGTAAATATTTATATTTTATTTTCCATTTTCTCAACCATATCACTAATTCTAGCTATTATCATCCACATACAGTGCAATAAAATGTTTAAAATTAAGAAATGGAAATATATACATACCTTTTATCTCTTTGTTGAATAATCTTAAAATATATTCTTTGGGTCATATGGATAAATTCACATCTTTACCTTTTGACGTATAGTTTATTTTTAATGCTTTATTTTCCCTTCCTGTACTTTATCTTTGATTATTTATATTGACACACATCAACAGATGCCTGGGTGATATAATGCTATCATTGGTAGAGACAGTTTAGCTTCCAGCAAAATATTTTGCACTTGCCTAGATAGGAAAGACTTGTTAAATGAGGCAAAGCTTAGAATAATATTACAAAATCATTAAATCTTTCAAGTATGAATTTTAAAACAAAAATATAAATAATACATAATTAACTAAAATGTAAAAGTAAGATGTAAATACAACTTTATTTCTCTCTCATTATAACATATTTAGGTAAGAAAAACTGTAAGTGCTATCATGGATCAAGCAGCCAACAATACTACAGGCAGTTAGATCTAGCGAATGATGACAACTTGGCACTAATTTCAAAATATCTGTTGTTGGATTATAGTGTAAAATGAACTTTTTCTGATGACTATAAACATGTATGGCTTGTAAAGCTCAAAGATAAGTATTGAAGGTGGGCATGGCACTGTCAGGGATTAACAAAATTTAATACTTGTTTTTACTGCATTCAGCCAAAGAGCTTTGAAATAGGACTAGGGTTATCTGATTCAAGATAGAGACTACAAACGTTGAGTTTTTTCATAGCTCTTGGGTCATGTGACAACACAGCTGATGCTTAAGTATGTTTTTAAAAGTTTCTTTTGAAACAAAGAAATCAAAAGTTACAAAACATACATCATAATGTTAATTTCATTGACGTACATGGATAGTAAAGTTGTTTAATTACATTTTGAATGTAACTTAGTTAGATGTGCAGAAAGGTGTTTAAAGAATGCATCATGCTTATATGGTTAAAACATTTATAATCTTTATGTAGCTGATTTTAGAACTAAAAGTTAAAAATATCTGAACTTTAATTTTTGTAGCACATGTGAATACAATTGAAATTTTAACAGCATGCTATGTATTTTCTTCTTAGTTTTTGTTATTGCTGTCATGGCTTTGACGTGTGCCAGTTAATGATATATAATTACAAAGAACAGCATACTTTTAAAAATTGCAAGTTTATTCTAGTTTAGTGCTTAGGTTTATTGCACAATGACACAGCCATGCTTCTAACACATAATTACAAAGAATAATTAACAGATTACTAAATATATTAAGTAGCCCTACATTTGTAGTGCAATGTATAATCATCATTATTTTACTATCCATTGTTCTCAGATAACTGCTGAATATATTTATAGTCATTTAAAATGTTTCTATTTTAACTTTTGATGGATAGATTCGATGCAGTATTGTACAGTTTAAAAGCAAAAGTACTTTAATATGTGTATGAATGTTGTGAAATTATACATTAATATGTAGTTGAAGATTAAGCTAAATGTTGACTAATACTTAAACACCTTTTTTAGAAAAATCTACTTGTTATTTTTTTGCAAGCTCCATAATTTATTTTTAAACTTATGTTTAAACATATCTTTGCTTAAAATGTAACATTGCTAACATTTGGATTTTGAACTATTACAGTTGTGAAATAATATTCTTGTCTACTTTTGTGTTGCATAATTTTTCTTTCTGTTAAAAATTTTAATAAAAATCCTGAGTGTAGTGTTTAAAGTGGAATATATGAACTGTTAAAATTACTTAGGGACTAAAAGTAAGCTAATAGTTTAGGCTGATGGTACTTAAAGGTGTAAAGCTGATGGGCATCCTGTGTGAATAACATAATATTGAATTCTCTATATAATATATATAAAATAGATTAATTTCAGGCTGAATTTTTCAGTTTTGTAAATATATTGTATATTTCCATGGATTGAATGGTTTAGCTCTGTTTTTAATGAAAAGTTACTACTTTGTGTTGTTATAACAGAAGCTGATGATGATTTAGTGTTGAGATTAAATTTATTTGGTATGTGTATGCATATTATAACTAATGGGTTTCCATATATTGAGATATTCCATTATTTTTGAACTTGTATTCACTGAGTGGTCACAAGTAAATAGACACCTAATTTTTCGTCATTTAACTGATTTGTGTTCACAGAGCACTATATAAATGAAAATGTCCCACACACTAATTATCTTGTGCTACAACATGCCTAGAACTCGAGGTTCTCTTGAATTGTCAGATTTTGTTAGAGGAAGGATAGTTGGTCAAGCAGATAGTAGAATAAGTCAGTGGCAAATTTTGCAGAATTTGGGAATCCTGCTTTCGACAGT